CTAGGAAAAAATTGTAGGTAATACCCTTATGGAAATTGGAATAGGCAAACAATCCTGATTAATTCTCCAAAAGCAAAGGCCCATAAATGATAAGATAGACAAGTGGGACTTCATCAAACCAAAAACCTTATGCAAAGCAAAAGAAACTATCAAGAGAGTGAGAAGACAGCCCACGGAATGGGAAAAAATATTTGCCAACTGTAAATCTGACAAAGGCCTAACATCCAGGATCTACAAGGAACTCAAACATGCCAAAAGGGAAAAAAATGAACAATTCTATTAAAAAATGGGCAAAAGATATGAATAGACACTTCCCAAAGTCATACGAACAGCCAATAGATACATGAAAAAGTGCTCAGCCTTATTAATCATCAAAGAAATGCAAATTAAAACCACACTGAGATACCACCTAACTCCAGTCAGGATGACCATCATCAATAACTCAAAAATCAACATGCTGGAGAGGATGTGAGGAAAAGGGATTACTTCTACACTGTTGGTGGAAATGTAAACTAGTACAACCTCTGTAGCGATTTCTAAAAAATCTGAAAATTGACCTTCCATACAACCCAGCAATCCCCCGCTGGTAATATACCCAGAGGAACTCAAATCATTCCATAATAAAGATACCTGCACATGCATGTTTATTGCAGCATTATTCACAATAGCAAAAACATGGACCCAATCGTGCTGCCTACCGAAAGTGGACTGGATAAAGAAAATGTGGTACATTTACACAATGGAATATTATGCAGCCATAAAGAAAAACAAAATTATGAACTTTGCAGCAACCTGGATGGAATTCAAGTCTATAATACTCACAGAAACAACGATGTGAGTACCACATGTACTCACTCATAAGCGGACCTTGGACATTTATCATAATACTATAAGAAAGGGATTGGCAGTAGTGCAACACAGCTGGGGGAGCACATAACATCAATAAGAGTACCCACACTTTACCTGTACAATGACCACGTATGTACCTAACCCTAATTTGTACCCCACATTTTTAAAATAAAATAATTTTTAAAATTATATTCTTATCCTCATCACTTATTTTTATCATCATCATCATCAATCACACTGTAAACAGAGCACCATTAAGTACATGAGACTCTTCCAGAGCTAACTTTCAATTCCAGTTGAATCATACCCTGTCTTTAACCCACTGTGATTCCTACCTCCTCTACAAATTCAGCAGCCTCAGCATAAAGGAAGCAAGAGGTGACCAATCAAGATATGATTCCCCTAAATGAGAGAAGACAAGACACTAAATTTGAGCAGAAATTGGGTGTTTCTTTTCTCATCTTGTTCCTACTTCTCCCTCACTCTCTCTCCCATGTCCACGCCACCTCCCACTCTGCATGGGCAACCCTGTCTGTTGACATCTGTCACAATTGAGTGTTTAGTTGTCCTCCCATTCTCTTACTGCTAAATAGGAAGAAAGAAACTGCTGTAAGGATCTTAAAGTGAGAAGAACCATTTTGTTTTTATTGAAATAAGAAGAAGATGGAAATCTGACCAGCAAGGTGGCTCACACCTATAATCCTAGCACTTTGGGAGGCCAAGGCAGGATGATAGCTTGAGTGTAGAAGTTTGAGACCAGCCTAGGCAGGAGGATAGCTTGAGTCTAGAAGTCTGAGACCAGGCTTTGTGAGATCTCTTCTCTACAAAAGATTAAAACATTCACCAGATACACACCTGTAGTCCCAGCTACTCAGGAGGCTGAGGCTGGAGGATCGCCTCAGCCCAGAAGTTAGAGGCTATGGTAAGTTACAATCGTGCCACTGCACTCCAGCCCGAGTGACAGAGTGAGAGTCCAACTCATTAAAATATCAGTAAAATACACTCAAATTTTAGGAGTTGGATCATCCAAGATCTGAGAGCTCTATAAGAGAATTCTTTCAAAAAAAGTAGGCTATACAAGATGGCTTCTTTCTAATTATATTATATATTTCACATCATTAAAAAACCAACCACAATTGACATGCAGTGTTTGCTTCTTTGTGGGATGAGTGTGTGGTTTTTGTCAAGTCACTTGTAAAAGGATCAAGGAATAACATTGAAAGGAAATTTTTTTCCAATATTCTTGCATTGCTGGAAGTTTACCCATTTCTTGAAGAACAGGAGAGAGATTCATAAGAAAAAACTTGCCCTGAATTGCTCAGCTAATAGAGTTAAATGTCTTTATTGAGCCTACTCTTTCTGAGAAATGTTTCACAAAAAAGTATAACGCAATACCCGTTGATGATCTCTGGAAAGATCCAAAGTGGCCTCAGGACTAGTGTGTCTGGGCCATATGTATGGTTTTATTAATACATCTGTCCTAGCCGGGTTCGGTGGCTCAACCAGTAATCCCGCACCTTTGGGAGGCTGAGGTCAGTGAATTGCCTGAGCCCAAGGTTTCGAGACCCGCCTGGGCAGCGAGACCTCATCTCTGCAATAAATCAAAAAATCAACCGGGTGTGGTAGCGCATGCCGGCTACTCGGAAGGCTGAGGCGGAAGGATCGCGGGAGCCCATCAGGTCGAGGCTGCGGTGGCCAGGAGCGGCCACTGCACTCCAGTCTGGGCGACAGAGTGAGACTCCAACTCAAAAAAAAAAAAAAAATACATCTGCCTTAAGAATGAAATTTCACAACTATGACCTCATGAGAAAAAACTGCTTCCCACCCTTTCCTTCATAACTTTGACAAAACAGAAATTGGCTGTGCTTTTTTCATTTTTAACCTTTCCATATTTTTATCTGCTTCCTGTATATAATCTAATTATAGGTCATTTTGTTTACTGAATATTAAAAAGAATATTATGTAATGATACTTTCCCATCCCTTCCGATCCAAAAATACACATTACTGGATCCAATGTACAACTGGAATCCAGCTCCATATTGACTTATTTAATTTTTCTCCAGTTAAAACTAAATTCTACATATTCTACAGCCCCATAATTGCTTCATAAGAAAAAAGCATTTAAAAAGCATATTCAATTTTTCACCTTCCTGCTCCTTAACCAACAGAACTACAAGACAATATACAAATTAAAATTATGAAATAAAAACATTCTGCATAATAATAAGATTAAATATTTTGTACCACATCATTGTAGTTTTTACAGCATAAAGAAGTAGTCACCTGCCACCATGTTTAATATAGTTCCCAGGTAAAAACAAAAATGAGCACACTGCATGTTTCTCAGCCAGGAAACCTCCATTTATGCTATTATTTTATACTTCATACTTTATGTAACGTAAAATTTTCATTGAAATAAAAATAAAAATGCCCAATAGAGGCTTCTGCCAAAATTGCAAAATAAATTCTACCTCACTCCCACTATTCTAAGTTTCATGGTCTGATAAGTATGGCCATATGTGTTTCTCCTTCAGGAACAGACTCAGATGTCTTCAAAGGAAGTGAAACAGTTTGGACAGAATGGACATCCTTTCTTTGAGTAATGAACGTCAAGGAATTACAAATGCCAGGGACCAGAAAACACAGGGGACTATCTAACAGGAACAATGATTTAAAAGAGGATGGACAAGAGTCATTTAAATAGAGACCTAGGAACCTGACTTTCCAAATCACACTTAGATATACATGCTTAGCTTAGAAGCTAGTACCAAACATTTATTTTCTTTTTCCTTTTTGCTGTTTTGGTTTTTCTCATCTGGTCAACTCATCTCATTTCTCCTGGTTAATCCTATTCTCTGGTTTCTGTATCAATATGGCCTCCCAGCTTGGAATCTAGCTTCTATGCTGTGCTAAGGATACAGTAGTAAAGGAAAGAAAATATCTGCCCTAAAGGAGCTTACTTTCTAGTGAGAAGAAAAGACAGCAAACAAAATAAATAATTACAGCCTCACGTATTGGATGTCAATGCAGGCAGTCAAACTTTTTGACCTACAAAAAAGGCGATGTCATATGAGTCAATCCATATATTAAGTAACAATGACTATCATTTTTTAAATGAAGCAGAAAAGGAGGACAAGTAGTAGGCTGGATGGGAGCGTGAGGGCAGAGAGGGTTACAGAATATTTGAAATGTGGCTAATGCAACTGAGAAACAGAACTTTTAATTTTATTTAAATTAAATAATTTAAACTTAAGCAGACATAAGTGGCTACTAGTTATCTATTCAGCCAGATAACACAGTCTTAAATCCTGCCTCTTACATCCTTTTGAAAACTAACTGGCAGTTATCTTCCATCTAGCTGGTTCCTCAGCATAGACAACTCAAATTCTGCCAGTCATTTCATCTAACCTTCTGGCCTCAATCTTTCTTCCTGAACTGTTGTATGGATGTATCCAGCCAAACGATGGCCTATTGCTGCCCAGTTCAGAAACATGGGCTTAGCAGAACCCTGATCTCTCCCACTTTCCCATAAGAAATGGGATAGAAGAGTTTTCTAAAAAAAAAAAAAAAAAAGTGAACAGATAACTAACCAGATTTATTAAACACTACATTTACACAAACACAAGAGATGAAATCCAGTGATTTATCAAAAATCTTTCCAAACTCAAAATTCTAGGTAGACAAATGACTATTTCCAAAATTATACTGTATTTGCAGAATAATCCCTGTACCTTAAATCTCATTATTTCGCATCACATATCATGCAGTCAGTCATCTGAATCATTAATCAAAAGGTAAAACTTATTCTTTCCTGCTATTCTTAAGAGAGATGCTTCAGTATCCAGAGCATTATTTTTACAATTTATAGTTATTCATAGGAAACTTAGTACACATATATTGTTATGCAAAATTCTGGAGTGACTCTTGCCCTTCGTTTTATATTCTTAAATCTGTTACAGCTGTTCAATTTCTAATGAATATCTATCTCTTATTATCTGTCAGACTTTATAATTTATAACCAAAAGGTATAATTGTAAATGTAGTATTTAACAGGTATGGGAAGATGAAGTAAAATACAGTAAGAACTTCTCAGAAGGATAAGAAAGTGAATTCAATGTGTATGTGACAAAAGTGCAGCTCAACACTTACTGGTTTAGCACGACATCAAGAATGAATGATGTTCCAAAGGCATCAACCTGGAAGCTTGCCCGGTCAATGTGAGTCAACTACAATACCAAACAGATAAAAGGCATTTATTACTCAGCCAGAGCAATCAGACAACAAGTGTTTCATATGATTATTCTAGAAGATTTACAGTATCATAAGTGAAAAAATCAATTCCACAAGGAGAATACATGAAAATATATTAAAGTAAAATTTGCACCTCCTTAGAAGCCAAGCATTCACCAATCCGAAGTAAATTACCACCCAATGAAGGAGAACAAGTGCTTTTCTGGGTCATCTCAAGTTGTTAAACATTTCAATTCCAAGAATACTGCATTTCATTCATCTTTTTCTATATTAAATAATCAGTCCCTTTAAAATTAAGCTTTGAACATTCAAAAAGAAAAAAAGATTAAATATGCTAAATTCAAGAGTAAAATAATATGATGAATATGATCTATTTACAAAAAAGATACCTAAACCTCTAAAAAAAACTTTAACATGTATCTCAAATATGTACTCTAAAAATAATATTTCAGTTCTAATTTACCAAACCTAATTTCATAGAGGCTTCCACATCTTTCTAAAAGCAAAACTGAATCTCTGCATATCTATGGGAAATACCACCTATCAAAAATTTCTAGGATTAAAAATATATATATCACTATTTTCCATGCTCTCCTAGGAACTTCTGGAGAGAATCACAAAAAAATTAGTGTTAACAATAATATTAATACTAGGATATGTAATAATCATGTGCATTAACTAAAAAGAAAGGTGGAAGCAAAACTGTCCGTTCCATTTGACTCCTCAAATACCATCAATAGCCATATCCAAACAGTAAGACTATGAATTATTGAAATTTTCGTTTGTATATTTCTATAGTATCCAAGTAAGCATGTATAATTCCTACAATGAGGAAAAAAAAACAACAAACATTATTGTAGAGATAAAAACCATCTGAGCAACTGCACATAGTCTGTGAACAACAATGCTGTGTTCCTTGAGAACAAGCACATCACAGGAAGGAACATCATAGAATGCTATGGGCATAAACCATCCCTGGGATTTCACACACAGTGAACTGCAAGGTTAGGTGAAAGGGGAGAGCTTGAGTAATAATAATGAAGCTTTGGGGAAAGGATAATTCTTCTGTTGTAACAATCTATGAAAGAAGTGGAAGTAAGAGAATGTCATAACTCAGTTACTAACATATTTCAACCCTCATAAAATCCCAAAGATGAAGAACTACCGGGAAACCTGTCAGCCTCACTAACCATTCAACCCTAACTCCTAACTCTTCCCAGCTAACACCCAGGCCCAACCAAACTTCATTTGTTCTTTTCTTTTCCTTTTTTTTTTTTTTCTTCTTCATTTGTTCTTGGAGCCACATCTTAGTCTTTATTTCCACCTCTGTCACTGATCATATGCCTCCCTATCTTTCTAAAGTTGACTCCTTACCAAAACCCCATATATAAGCCCCACGTTTTCTACAGAATCAAATACAAACCACCTCTCTAGTTCCCAAGCACCCACTCACATCTTACCCCTACTCTTTCATCCAAAAGCTATATTCATTCCAACATTTTCTGTGACCTGTATTCACTACTTTGACTGAGTCCCTTTCTGAACCAGACCCTTCACCAAAGCTGTTTCCCAGATATGGTCCTACCTATCCTTCAAGACTTTGGTTAAGTTCCTCCTTTTTTTTTTTTTTAATTAATCAATATTTTTTATTTTGGTATTGTGGGGTACAGTTAAGGGTTAGGCATATAAATATGTTTTGTTCAGGCACCCTTGATGATAAGGGGTGTCTCCCCATCCCCAGACAGATATTTACTACCATTAATCCCACCTCCCTTCCCCTCCCCCCCCATAGTTTCCCACCACTGTCAATCCT